TTAAGGTGTGCATTATTTTCGAAATTAACGGTAAATAATGAACAAATTGTAATTTGTAAAATAGAGGGGTAATAATCAAATAAGTTATTTTTTTAAATAAATATGCCACTTTATGCGTATAAACCCTAAAGTTTAAAATTTAAGATGACAGTTTCAGTTCAGTGGGTAACGCAAGTTTGTGAACGCATAGGCGCATATATCAACCCTCAGACTCAAAATTAGCACTCCTAAAAATTCAAGCCCCAATCCTTGATTTGTACGCATAAAATTGTAATAATGTTCATACTCCGTTGAAATTTGTTATTTAAGATTTTTTTTTTAAATGTTTTATATTATATCAAATAGTATGAAAATTGAAGGTTAGAACTTTTTATTCATTAGTCAGGTATACATAGTTATAACACCCCCTTAAATGTAGGTCTAGTTGCGCCTATGTGTGAATGTAAGTTCGTAAGTCTTTAACACATAAAGGATGGGATGATATCACCTTGTATATTTCTAAACTGGATGGATTAGTCAGATCTACTAGGTAATTTTTTTGCACAATCAGTACGTTTACTTAGTTAAAATAGAATGTATAATAATAATAATTTCTAAATTGTGAGATGAATAATTTGTTTTTGAACTTTATACTTATTGCTTGTCAATGTTTTGTTCTAGTGTTAATGGTACAAGTAATGAAGCGAATAAAATAATAGAAGGTTCTTCTACAAAATCCAGCCTCAGAAAACATCAACGAGCACACAATGGTGAAAAGCCCTACAATTGTGCATTTTGCTTGAAGTCATTCACTCAAAAATGTGATCTGACAAAACATGAACGCGTGCATACAGGTGTGAAGCCCTATAAATGTGATGTATGCCTTAAGTCATTTTCTCAAAAATCGAGCCTCGCCACACATGAACGCATACACACTGGTGAAAAGTCCTACAATTGTGATGTATGCCTAAAGTCATTTTCTGATAAATCGAGCCTCACAAAACATGAACGCTTGCACACTGGTGAGAAGCTCTACAAATGTGCAGTGTGCCTAAAGTCATTTACTCGAAAATCGTACCTCACAATACATCAACGCGTGCACACTGGTGAAAAGCCCTACAATTGTGCAGTGTGCTTAACGTCATTTTCTCATAAATTGAGCCTCACAATACACAAACGCGTGCACACTGGTGAAAAGCCCTACAATTGTGCAGTGTGCTTAAAGTCATTTATTCAAAAAGAGCACCTCACAAGACATCAACGCATACACACTGGTGAGAAGCCCTATAAATGTGATGTATGCCTTAAGTCATTTTCTCAAAAATCGTACCTCACAATACACAAACGCGTGCACACTGGTGAAAAGCCCTATTATTGTGCATTTTGCTTGAAGTCATTCACTCAAAAATGTGATCTGACAAAACATGAACGCGTGCATACAGGTGTGAAGCCCTATAAATGTGATGTATGCCTTAAGTCATTTTCTCAAAAATCGTACCTCACAATACACAAACGCGTGCACACTGGTGAAAAGCCCTACAATTGTGCATTTTGCTTGAAGTCATTCACTCAAAAATGTGATCTGACAAAACATGAACGCGTGCATACAGGTGCATACATATAAGTGACAATATCTAAGACTCAATTATATTCGTCAAATTCAATTGGGTTATTATATTCTATAAACAATTACAATTTTTTTTATAAGGCCTATATAAAATGTATTTTTATATGTTATAAATTAACTAAATAAGTAATGTGTATTATTATTTGTAATAATTTTATTTGTATGTCAGGTGGTGACTTAAATAATTAATTATGTTTGCTTGACATATTCTATATTGTAATTAAAATTTAGAATACTTGCATTTTATTACGTTGTTACATGTTTTTTAAAAGAACAGTATTTGTATAAAATACCAAAAGGTGTCGCGCTAATACACGTTATCCAACTATTTTCCATCTCATTATTTTTTGTTCACTTATTTCCAGTTAGGTATTTAGCTGAAAGGCTATTGGTTTTATAAAGTTGTGAGCATTTTTTTTTGTGTACACTAGCTTTTATAATAATGGACTAATTCCTTTAATTAGTAACTTTACAAAGCATAAATTTTATCTAATTTTTACTTTGGGTGAATTAAAGTTAGAAAAATCTACTTCTTCACCCTTAAAATTTGTAAAAAAAAAAACAAATATAAACACACGGCTAAGATCTTTAATATCGCATAATACAGCCTCTATTTTTGTACAAAACATGTGTTTCTATTTTCAATAGAATGCTTCTAAGAGCACACCAATTTAAAATTTGATAAAAAAAATTTGTTGCCATTGCCGATTTTTTTAATTAAATATAATTTATAGTGCATAATAGAAAAAATGTATGTATATATAGTAGGTAAATCTACGAACATAATTCAAATATCTTAATAAAAACAGGGTTAATGCACGCAGGTACACGTCATATGCGACAAGTATAGTTTGGCAAAATGAAGGGTCCAAAATATAATAAGTATTGATAATTGTTTTATTGTTTGTGTTTCTGATCGTTTGAATTTGTACGATATTTTCCAAAAATATGTCGAATGCAAATGTTGTATATAAACAAATAACATTATTTAAAATTAATGTTTTGTTACCTACGTATATATATCTAGTTCAGACATATTTTTTATTGTGTTCACAATGTAATCATAAATGTAGATTCAACTAAAATTGAAAGATTCCAAATGTCTATTTGAACAATGGAAAAATATGTTATTGCAAACCTACACATAATTATATACGTACATGTTGTACATCGTCACATTGTGGATAATAAATTTTATTAAATTTGCTTCTAAAAAACAAATTTTGGCTATGTTTATTTTTTACACATGTTATAGGTATGTTTGATGCAGTTCCTTGAGTTTAATTATTACCATTTTAATTGAAGTATATTAATACAACATGTATTATAACTTTTAGCAGAAATGTTTGTGTTTAAAAATGTGCAAATTTAAAATTGGGATCTTATCGATAGAAACGCTTAGAAAACAAACACCTAAAATTGTATAGAAGAGTAAAAAAATAAGAAAAATATCTAATTTTTGGATACAATTCTTTCGACTGTTTTTATTACTGTGGTCGTTTTTACTACAGGTAAATTATTTAATAATCCATTAATTCACAATTCTTAGAGGAGTAGAATTTTTTTTTTTTTTTTGAGTACTGATTAGTACAGTAGAAGAACTATTTTGAAAAGCTATAGCCTATGTATCATAAAAAAAAAATACTAACGAATAATAAACAATTGAATATTTTACTTTAAAACGTATCTACCTTCTGAACCACTCGATGGTTAAAATCACACTCTATGGCAGCAAACTACTAGTTTCTAATTAAGGGTAACGTAACTGACACCACTATGGTTTTCACCCTCTCGACTGTTGTTTACAGCTTAAGAAAATATCATATTTTACTAACTATTTATGTAACGACCCTATCCAAAGAACCACGCGTTAATAAGTATTTTTGTACTATTCATTTGCTTGCCTCTCGCTAATTTTAATTGTATACTATTGTTAATGTTTGTTACATGTATAGTTTTGTTGTTGTTCTTTTTTATTTACCAACACTTATGTATTTTACTTATAAATTGCCATCAGACGTAGAAATCAGTAAATAAATACATTTTTATTACACTGATGAGGATAGGGGCACTATCAAATAAAACCCCTTAAGTATGGATTTTCTCATTAGAATGTTTTCCTTTTTTCCTAAAATCGTTTTATAATATTAAAATACAGTTTTTGTTTTATTATATTATTAACTTATTAAATGCACAAAGTCTACAAGTAAAATACCATATTTATATGGTGTACTAAGATTATATTTTACCGAAAATAAGTTGTTTTTTAAAACGTGTTCGGTTTTGTTGTATTATTTATGTTATATGCTAAGAAATTATGTTATTACGGTTTTACAAAAGTAATTTTTTCCAACATGTACATTATTTAATATAATTGTTTTGTATCTGTGTCCACGATAACTAACAACTTGAAATTCCTAAGCAGGATTTTATACCAATTTAAAACATTTTGTTTTTTGTAGCTCACACGCAGAGCTTTTCTAGGTAGTATTTGCGTTTAACCGTGTTTTTTTGTTTCGTTATTTGTTCTTGGCAATTCTGTACATGATAATAGTTTAGCAAAACGTACATACTTAAAAACACCATACGAAGGCTTGTAAATGGTGCCAAACTTTATATTATGTTACTATAAACCACACTAGCGTTACGAAGAAAACACGATTAAACTTGTTGTAGATAATATGTATATTGTATAAATATCCATAAATGATACTAATTATAGTAAAACCAAATAGTTGGAATAGATTAGATTATAAAAAACAAATTTATATATTTGGAGAATATTGTTTTTATTGGTAGACAGTTTTAACAGACATAATACAATTTATATGATACGCAACGAAATATGTCATTTGTAATGTATTGTTATTAGAGAAATTTTAATAAGCACATGTATTTTTGGAATGTGACACAGATTCTGGATACTTCACCTTTGTTGGTAAATTTAACTATCGTTGGTTTCCAGCTAAAAAAAAAATAATAATAAAAGTAAATTATTTTTAATTTGCTTACACATGCCCCAAAAATATTTAAAAAAATCGATTATTTAAGTTAGGCTCCTTTATAAATGTATTATTTAATTTTTTTATCATTTGTATGCTACTGTAATATATATAATTTAAATTTGTAACATGTAACACTCTACTACTAACACAAGCTCTGCTTAAAGGTAGTAGTTATAACAATGTATTTTGTGTTTTCTTTAATAAAAAAAAAAAAAAAATTATCTATAAGGTGTTTCCATTTTTAAATAAATCGTAGGGTTTACTAGTAAAAAACTTACCTGGTGGATTTTGCGGTGGATTTCGTGGTGGAATTGGTGCTCCTAGTAAAGGTATTGGGTCAGCTGGTATGTACAGTGGTACTGGTACTGGAGCTGAAACACAGACAAAATAACTTAAATACTTGTTTTTCCATTTTTAGTTGTTTATCTAAAGCGTTTAATTTTGTTAGCCACAAATTATAATTTTTAAACAGTTTTTCAACTTGATACAATTTTATGTAATAATATGCTTACGGACATGATAAACTTATTTTTATTATAAACAATGTAATGCATTAGTAACATTTTATACATATTTTCAGCTTTTATGAAAATACTTAAAAAACTGCTAGAATCTTCACAATACATAAAAACTGATATTATCATCCAACTAACAGTAATTTGAAAAATGAATAATAAAATCGTATATTAAATTTCACTTTTAAAATTTATAAAAGTCATAACAGTCTCAAAAACTTACGGAAACCACGTGGTGGGTTAGCTTCAGGATTAACGTTCAAACATTTATCATAACACAAGATACGCTTAGGTGAAAAACATTTAATCAGGTGTTGTGACTGGTCTTTATACAAAATTTGTATTTGCTATAAAAAAAGTTGGACGGGCCGCAATTCACCGGTCTGCGACATTGTAAATATTTCTAGTCCTTTATGATACTAAATTAAGTGTAGGTTTTGTATTTTACGGTTTCAGTTAAACCTATACATTTTAGTTTTTACACCACTAGTGTGAAAAATATTATTCATATGCTATTCACTTTGCTGCAAAAATTAAATAAATAAGTTGCTAAAACAATAAAAAAAGTCTAGCTGTATTTTATTCTAGGTTATAGAACCAAAAACAATTGTGTGTTGCTTACAAGTTTTATTCGTAACAATAGTACACGAAATGTATTTGACAAACAATTATTATAATAACACTACATAAACAATGAACAATGTACTCCCCTCACCTACCAACAAAGACAAACATTTTCAAATCTTGTGCAGCACATATCTCTCTATATAACATAAGCAGTAAACGTACTGTTGTTCTAGTATAGTCTTCTACAATCTTTGTGTTTTACTTAAACTGTAAATCCAAAAATCAATATTTTATTTGGCGTTTTAAATTTTCTATCTTTAATATACCATTGGATTATATCTAATTGAAAAATGAAATTAAATAGCATATATTTGTTTTTAACAACATTGTTTTGCGTTATCATTTTAGCGTATGCAGGTATTTCAGGTCGTCCTGAACATACGCAATCTAATACCCGTAAGTTTTTGAGACTGCTATAACTTAAAAAAATTTCAAAAGTAAAATTAAATATACTTTTTTATTATTCGTTTTT